GTTACCTACTTAGAAAGAGAGGGTCTGCCCACAGAGAGCGAGATAGTAATACATAGGTTAAGCTTCAAGTAGGTATTTGGAGTGTGGTCTCCATCCTTATCTATAACTTCATGGGTTTAACATTGACTTTGGGACGTCAGTCACCTCAGTCCCCCGTGACTAAAATTGTTCAAAACGTAGACAGAGAAACCTATAGACTAATGATCGGCGTGGCCTCGAGTGAGAAAGGACGATAACGAATTTTTAGGTTATACAATAATCTTTATGACTTTTAAACACATTTAGATAAAAAATTTAATTGTTCTAAGAACTGAACTGAACAAGATTCACCAATCTTAGGCTCACAAAACACTTTTTTCTCACTTAAACCAACTTGTAAACTCCTTAAATCGCTACGCTTTCAAAGTTGTTTAGCAAACTGTAGAGTTTGCTAAACAAAAAAACCGGCACGGTGAAAGGGACAAACAATCACACCGCTCTATCTCATTTCTATGCAAGACGTATGCATAAATCTATCTTTTTCGTGTGCGAATGCGAAAGAAGGCGTCAATTTGTCTATAGGTTTCTCTGTCTACGGTTCAAAACGACTATAAATCAATAGCACGCTACAGTCTATAAACTAGAAATTTCTAGCGCGTTATTAAATACGCTATGTTATAGCGCGCTATTTATAAAAAAAGTGTGTAGGAGGCCGGCAAGCGCGTTAAATTTAGCAGCACGCTATATCTTGGAGCACGCTACATTACATGTCGTTCATTGGATAGACCGCGTGCTATATAAGAATATTGTTTCGTAATAAGTCGCATTTTAGATTAAAATAAAATAAAGTGTTAAAGGAAAATCAATGAACGTTCTTTCATACTTTTCAAGCTTACGACTTTCTATAATCCTAAAAATATTTTTAAGGCATGTGCTTTTTAAAACAAAATAAAATTATTCATTTTTTTATTACAATTGATGTAAACGTTGTTTTAAACTTAATATAAATTATAAATCAATTAAAGATGTATTTAAAAATTTATTGATTATATATACAAAAATCAACTATTTATACTATTGTTCAACTACTTATACTAACACTATTATATACACTTTTGTATCTTTATTTTATTTACATTTGAAAACATTAGTTAGGCTTCTACTGTAGCAGACAACTGTGTCCTTCGATCACTTATAAATATACAGTATACACTAACTAAACAACGTCTAACACTAAATTAGTTCGCGCGCGATGAATAGCGTACTGCTAGATTAAATTTGCGTCACACGTCTACTCTCAACAGCTAAGCTGCTAGAACTAATTGTCGCTTGATATGAATAGCGCCAAAGCGTCATAGCACCATGGCAACTACTTACATAACACGCGCTACGCGCTATGAAGAGATAGCGCGCTATAATATGGCGCTATGCGCTATATTAACCACCATTACCCGTGACCATGGGTGTTGGTAGGCACCCGAAATAAAAATAATTTAAAATTAAACGCGATAATAAATAATCCGTAAAAATAGTTTTAATCAGCTGTTTTTATACTAAAATCAAAATAAATAATTTATATAATACCAATAATTTATTTAATACGATAGTAAATATTTTTTTTTCCTTCAAATATTTCATAAAAACTACACTTAACACAAAAATGTTTGTGACCACTGTCAGTAGGCAAAGAGGTCATTGTACGAAATTCTTCCTGCTCCGCGATTGGACTTTACTCGTAGATGATACTGTTACGAGCTTGAGCTTCGTGACAACAAAAATTGCCGATAAAATTACCTAAATTAACACTTTAATTTACTTTACACAAATTAAAACTAAAAACACTAATAATTAAACACACTAATTCACTTAATTCCACTCCGAAGCTTCGCTTGTGTCGCCGAGTTCAACTCTGCCCTCGCATCTTGCAGCCCCTACTTATATAAATTAGCAAAATATCCAGAATATTCAAGTAAACACGCGCAAGGTACCGAGAGTTCGAGTTTTAAACTTTAAGAAGTTTAGTTCTTCGGTTCGAGACTAGATGGCGCTAGTGCGCCGATTTTAGCGCGTAACACTGCCCCCTCCTAAGACATGCTCGTCCCAAGCATTATCGGTCCCATAATAACGCGCTAGGCGATCCACATGGACGATCTTAGGAGTCCCTCTTGCGCCTTTCTGTAACGGCTCCGCAATGTCAAGGGCTGTTCTATCCCGTGGTGCACCAACATTGTACAATTTCGGTGCTCCTCTACTACGTGTCTGAGGTCCCCGCACGGCCGCACAACTTGTACATGTACGACACCCATCCTCGACATCGTCACGATAATGGACCCAGTAAAACTGTTCTCGGACCTTCAGTAGAGTTCGTTTAACTCCCAGATGGACTCTTGAACGACCATTATGGCACAGCTGTAGAACATTCGGCACTTTAGCTTTAGGGACAACCATTTGCAAACGACAGCTGTCTCCTCGACCATTGTCCCATTTACGGCACAGGACTCCATCCTGAAGCAGCAAGCTGTCCCATTGGGCCCAATAGCTTTTCGTGGCTGAACTCATCGCTGAGACGTTCTTCCACTTAGGCTTGGTAGCACGGGCCTTCATCCATCCCAGAATCGGCTTGATGTCCGGATCTTCCTGCTGTGCATGTCGTAGGCTGTCCTTCCACCCGTTGCTGAGGTGGTCTGTTCTGAGCATCCTCACGGATACCACTTCCTTTCCTTGCCTACTACAATGGTTGCCATCTTCAGGACAAGGTCTTCTTGACAATGCATCTGTGTTGCCGTGAGATTTCCCGCTGCAGTGTCTGATAGTAAAGTCGTATTCCTGCTGCTGCTGGGCGGTGCTGTTAGCCGCACTTCCTTTCTGAGACCGTTCACCTTCCCTTCCTAGGGTGTGCTTCGGGCAGCTGGACCGAAGATGGCCACTTTCCCCACAGCCATAGCACCTAGGGCTGTATCTTCTATTGTGGTCGCGAACCGTAACTGCTGCAACCTCCCTAGCGTGAGGTGAACGACGATCCTGTCGCCGCCAGGCAGTGCCGTTAGCTGCACTACCCTCCTGATATCGTTCACTTTCCCTTTTTAGGGTTCGCTTAGGGCAGCTGGATCGAAGATGGCCCTTTTCCCCACAGCCATAGCACCTAGGGCTGTATCCTCTGTTGCGGTCGCGAACTGTAACTGCTGCAACCTCCCTGACGCGATGGGAACGACGATCCTGCCACACGGCTTCTACCTCCAGTGCATGGGCCAAAGCGTCCTTAAGCGTCTCGTGGTGCCCGAGCCTCACAGCAGCTCTGACTTCCAGGTCACGGATGCCGTCGATGAATGTCTGCACCAGGTTCCCTTCAATGAGCGCAGGTACAGACCGGTATGCTTTTCGCACCAGCTTCTCCACCTCTAGAGCCCACTGCTGCAGGTTTTCGTTGATGCGCTGCACGCGATCTTTAAGCTGCGCACGAAAGACGTGTTCCAGGTGAGCGTCGCCATATCTCGCCTCCAATGCCTCAAGGAGTTGCTCATAAGTCACTTCCTCACCGAGAGCTTCCAGAACTGTTAAGGCCTGGTCGCGCAGGCCTAGTGTGAGAGCAGTCATGGCCTGACTTTTATTCCAGCCGTTCGCCTTCATAACAGCCTCGAACTGGATTTTGTAGGCTGACCAGGAAGAAGTCCCGTCGAATGGTGGCACCTTGAACCCACGTAGCGAAGGTGTAGTAGCTACTACGGGAGCTGTAGTTCCATCCCCCAGTTTGAGGTCGTCCAGCGTTTTCTTCACGTCAGCCATCACGTAATCAACCCGATTGTTTACTTGGTCGATTTGGGTTTTAGCTTCCTTGATTTGGGTTTCAGCTTCCGACAGGCGGTTGTCATGTTGAGCAACCCTATCCTTCACCTCCCTAATCTCTTTCCCGAAGTTAGCGTGAATGTCCTTCACGAGGAGCATCTGCTCTTCCTGTCGGCGGGCCTGTTCCTCCTGCTGCTCTTTCAACCAACGGGCCTGTTCCTCCTGTCGGCGAGCCTGTTACTGCAGCATCACCATCAGAGCACCTAAATCGGGTGCTGCAGATGTAGGAGCTACTGACGGGCCTGCAGCCGGCGGCTGGCCCTCCGACGTCCGCGGCGTTGCACCACCAAATCTTCTTTGGTCCGTCTCCTGCTGGCGTTGATTTCGGGTACGGACACCCTCCGTTTCCTCCTTAGGTAAAATCGGCATGATTTTATCCCACTTCTGACACCAATTGTTACGAGCTTGAGGTTCGTGACAATAAAAATTGCCGATAAAATTACCTAAATTAACACTTTAATTTACTTTACACAAATTAAAACTAAAAACACTAATAATTAAACACACTAATTCACTTAATTCCGCTCCGAAGCTTCGCTTGTGTCGCCGAGTTCAACTCTGCCCTCGCATCTTGCAGCCCCTACTTATATAAATTAGCAAAATATCCAGAATGTTCAAGTAAACACGCGCAAGGTACCGAGAGTTCGAGTTTTAAACTTCAAGAAGTTTAGTTCTTCGGTTCGAGACTAGATGGCGCTAGTGCGCCGATTTTAGCGCGTAACAATACTTTCATTTAAAAAACTGTTAAAAAAGAGAACTGCATTAGTAACAATTACCCCATAGTTACACCTCGGTTCACCTTGTAATAATAATGTAATGTTACAAAAAATAATTTCTTACTGTTCATATTTGTTGGCATAGTAAAAAAGAATAATTCCAGTTAACTCCTTATATAAAAAAATTCTTAAACTCGCTATCGCCAGAAATGATTAGATAATGAGGGTAAACACTTCGACTAAAAAAATAGTTTTTTTTAGGAAAAAAAGTTATTGGAATTTTTAAATATAAAACGGAAATTTAATTATACCTTTATTCCAAATATTAATCCCTAATATCTTTGATCAAATTGATCGAAGATATTATACATATAATCACGTCATTAAATAACCTTTTTATTTGATATACTTAGTACTGAAAAATATTCAGACAACTTTTTATAATTAAAAAGTTAGGTTCGTCTATATAACAACCCTTCCTCTTTTCATAGCTGTTTTTACAATTTTCGTTTTCTTCTCTTTTTTCTTTTTGGAAATATTTTCCTTTCTTTTCTTCTGTCGTTCTTCTTTCTTTTGTTCAACATTCTTGATTCTATTCTCCCACTGTTGTTTACTTACTTTTTTCTTTTGTTCCTGAAAAAGAAAAGGTCTTTGTACTGCTGAATGATTTTTACCACAAAAATAAGATTGTTGGTCAATCACTATACCATTCTTTTGATTGATTTTTTTAACAAAATCGGATCGTCTTTGACTTTTTGTCCCTCTGCTTTCTGAAGTATATTTTTCCATGCAATCTTTTCCTTTATTTCTTTAACTTTTTCAACACTGTCGTTTTCTTCTAATTGCCGAAATTTGTTCTCTTGTTGCTTCATATCTTCCAATATTTTCTTAGGATCTTTATGTACTTTCGCTCCTTTATCTACAAATATAAAATTTTCATTAACTGAAATAAACATTCAATGAAAACGCATACAACACACGCCCTTTACCATCAGGTGGATTGTCAGCATTTTTGTCAATGTATACAGTAGTAAAAAATGTACCATGTAAATTATGTAACATGATATTTGTACCACATAGAGACTTAAGACCTTCACCTGATCTCATCCCATCATACTAAAAAAAGAAATTCAGAATATTGTCGATTAGGCTTCCACTTCAAATCTAAACATCTTTGCAAAATAAATTAAGTCAATGTACAAAATTAAATAAAAAAATTCAGCCGTGTAGTGGAGACAGAAGTTATTACCTCATTTCAGCTGGCTTGAAAAAGGATGAGATTGACAATTCAACTGTATGCTTCTTTTTTTTTTTCGCTTTTTATATTTATGATATGTGACATCTTTGTCAATTGTGAACTGATTTTAACAATTATTTTATTTTTTTTATTATGTGTATATCTAACCAAAGGTGGGAAGAAAGTTTTCAATTTAACTATTTACAGAATGATTTAGTCTTTTAAAAGCGACAAAAATTACAATTTAAAAAAAAACTAAATAATTCGAAAAACTAAAAAAAAAAAAAATAGTTTTCATATAATAGAAACTTCAATACTTTAAAACTTCCATTACTTTCATACCAAAATAATCCAAATTTTTTGTATGGAACATTATTTAAGCTCATTTGCAATGAATTTAATAATACTTTTACTTCTAAAACATTCTCCTTGAACAATCGCAAGGCATTTAATGAATGGGTGACAGTAGGAGTCCATAAGAGTAGACAAGGGTTATATGAACTTTACAATGAAAGGTCATATAATCCGAGCGTCGAATTTAGGGAATATGTAAAAGAATATTCCAAAATATTTAAAAGAGTGTGCTCCTTAGCCAAGTCATTGTACTTGAGCAACAAAGTAAAGACTGCTTCTAATAAAATTAAAATGACATGGAGTATAATTAATAGTGAAACTGGTAAGGTCAACTCTCGCAATGCAAACTACCAGTTAAGTTTTAACAATAAATTAACTAAATCAGATCAGGATGTTGCAATGGTTTTTGAGAAATATTTTACCGATATTCCGATCTTAACTACTAAGTCACTGAATTCTCCTGCCGTCGCCGAATCATTACTTAAACAAAATGTAAATGTGTGTACAAAGAATTTTACATTTTATAAAGTGTCATCAAAAGATATTATAAAATATTTTAAGACTATTGATATTAAGAGAACCGCCGATCTGTCTATAATAGATATAATCGCACCTCAACTATCTATTATTTTTAATACTATTATCGAATCTGGTGTGTTTCCTGATTTAATGAAGCATAGTAAAGTAATACCTTTATTTAAATCTGGTAGAACATTGGACCCCGCTAATTTTAGACCTATTTCTGTACTGCCAACACTTAATAAAATTTTTGAAAAAATTATTCTTGATCAAATGTTAAATGTTTTAATGTAAATAATTTACTTCATAAAAATCAATTTGGTTTCACGAGGGGTCGCTCGACAACTGATGCTGGTGTTGAGCTGATTAAATATATATTTAATGCATGGGAGAATTCATAGGATGCTTTGGATGTGTTCTGTGACCTATCCAAAGCCTTCGATTGAATTCACCATGAAACATTAATCAGGAAACTTCAACACTACGGTGTAAGAAACTATGCTCTTAAATTAATTATTTCATATTTAAGTGACAGAACGCAAAAAGTTGTCATCAATAGTGTGAGATCTTCCGGGTCGATTGTACAAATGGGCGTGCCTCAGGGCTCAATTCTCGGCCCCATTCTGTTTCTTGTATATATTAATGACTTACCTTACATAGTAGGGGATAACCATGATATAGTATTATTTGCTGATGATACTTCATTAATTTTCAAATTAAAACGACAGTTATTAAATTACGACGAAGTAAATAATGTTATAGCTAAGTTAGTCAATTGGTTTAATGTTAATAATTTGCATTTGTATAGAACTAAAACCAAATGTATGAAATTCATCACTCCTAATGTTAAACATGTCAATACTAATGTAATTTTAAATGGGGAGGAACTGAGTCTTGTTGATACCACCATTTTTCTTGGAATCACACTGGACGCAAAGCTTCAATGGCTCCCCCATATATCAAAACTAGCTAGCAGACTTAGTTCTGCAGCATATGCTGTAAAAAAGATTTGAACTCTTACCAGTGTTGAAACAGCTAGAATAGTTTACTTTAGTTATTTCCATAGCATTATGTCATATGGTGTTTTGCTATGGGGACACGCGACTGACACTGAAATTATATTTATTTTGCAGAAGAGGGCCATTAGAGCAATATATAATTTAAAACCAAAAGAGTCACTGAGACAAAAATTTAAGGAAATCAATATATTAACTCTGGCCTCTCAATACATTTATGAAAATGTAATGTACGTACACAAAAATAAAAGTAGTTTTGCGAAAATAAGTGATATTCATTCTGTAAATACTAGGAGCAGACACAAGCTAGTAGTACCAGTTACTCGACTCCACCGAGTCATTAATTCATTCTTGGGGCGATGTATACGCTTTTACAACCCAATCCAAAATACAAAAAATATCCCCGAAAATATACAAAATTTGTCATACACAAAGTTCAAAAATGTTATTAAACTAAGTTTGTATAAAAAGGGTTATTATAATATTAAGGAATTTATGGATGATAATAACCCCTGGGAAGGGTGATCGCTACTAAGCTATTTCTAATTTGTCTTGTGTTGTTAATTGTAAACATGATTGCTATTATTGGAAAAAAAATAGTCCCGCTGGGTTTCTTGCTGGTTCTTCCCAGGACAGAGGTTTTTTTTTGCGAACCAGTGGTAAATAAAAAAGTGACTTTCAATAAGTATTGTTATAATCTACATTGAATAAAAAAAGTTTCTGTTTCTGTTTCTATAGCTTTAGAAGCTGGGATTTTTATTCATATTTATTTATTTAAAATTGTAAGTATATATGGCTAAAATAGTACATATGGCGAATTTAAAGCCCAAAAGTATTCTCTCCCAATTAACCAGTAGGCTAAGCAAAGATAGACAAGACAAAATAATTCAATACACTAGGTCTCAGTGCTAAGTGCGTTCTGGCAATCTAATATTAACTACATGCATGCTGCTGCAGACGACCTGAATGCTGCAATTAAGGTACTATTAGATCTATTCCAATATTGGACATAACAGACTGACTTTCCAAAACTGTGCCCACACTCAATATGCAATGCAGGTGGGTGAGCACAGGGTTGGTACCCTCACAATATGGGTTCAGCATTATGGAACAAATATACCACCATTTGACAGCTGTGTCTTGTTCAATAACAGGGTAAGCTGCATGCAAATGAGTTTGGTGTCTTCCTGCATTACAACCCATAGCTTCAGATTTCATAACTGAGAAAACTCTTATCTCATCCTGAGTCTCCAGTGAAAAGTGTAAGAAAAGAATAAGGGGTAGTTTTTATTTAATAGAAATGAATTATCAGTTTATAGGAGACAACTCACCTTTTTTACCAAAATTAGCAAAATCAAACTTGGAAAATACTAATTTGCCTTCATTATTAAAGATTGGTTTAGAAATATTTGCATTTACTTTGTCAATTTTCTCTTGTTTAGTATTGCTTTGAAAATCTAATGGACCTTTAACTTTGGTTTTATTAGATCTTTCCTTTTTCTTAAGTTTCTTATTCAGTTTGCTATTAATACTCTTTTTGGCTAATTTGCTCTTTAAATGAAAATTGTTTTGTGATTTAATTTTCTGCAACTTTTCTTCCAATTCCACAATACTGGTAGCACGTTTTGGAAAATCTTTTCCAATTTCAGGCTGCACACCATTTATCATTTCAAAGTCATTACCAGCATCGTCATCTGTAAATGAATACAAAAATAATTATCAAAAAACTACTTCAAAATGACTTAGTCCTCAGACACAAGCATGTAACAAGAGTAAAATTTACAGTATGCAAGCGACATAAGTTTGACACCGATGACACCAAAGAAATCCAGTGAAGGAAAAGGTCGTGAGTAAACCTTCATGTCTGAAAAATAAAAATTAAATATTTCAAAGATATGTGAAGTCCGCCAACAAGTATTGGGGCAGCAAAGTGGACAGTTTCTTGCCCTAAAACCCTCTCAGAATTGAGAGGAGGCCTAGAATGGCAGGGTTGGTGAGGGTGAGTTTACTCATCCACGTAGGCGCTAGTTGAGGGACTCATTGTTAGTACCATTATCAGCCTAATCGGGTCATTCGCTTTTGAGTTATCAACGAGTAAAAAAAGTCAATCGGGAAGAAACTAGCCACTATGGAGAAAATTTAATATTGCGCGTCATTAATTTTCACACCGAACAAGGTAGGCCACCTCAAACCATTTTTCAAGAGATGTCAGCTGTTTATCGGGGACTCCATGGTTTACAAATGGCACGCCCTTTTCAAACAAGGAATGGACTCCGTTGAAGACAACCCTTGACCTGGATGACCAATAGATATAAGAAGAAATAGTCTAAAAAGTTGAAAACTTGTACAGGAAGATGCTCGGTTAAAGAAAAAAACAGTTTGCAGCATTAATTGGAGTATCAGAAACCACCATTTTAAACATCCTACATCAACACCTTGGCATGACCAAAGTCTGTGCAAGATGGGGGTTGGCTATAGACATCCTGTACTTGATTTTAATAATGTTTTTAGTCTAGGAGGCTTGTTAGGGTTAAGCTTGAACCTATTAAGATAAAAACAAATTAAAATGGTGTAATAACGAAACGCAAATATGTCAATTTGTTCTCGTATTATGAAGTAGATGTCCGGTTTTTTAATTTTGTTTCCAATCTAGTAGGATTGTCAGGGTTAAGCTCGAACCATTTACACTATTTTTGGATTTCGGAAATGCCTTTTGAATTAATTACAATAAAAAATAAATTTCACAAAAAACTGCATAATATAACAAAACACAAATATGTCAATTTGTTTTTTTAACACAGATACACTCTTAAAGAAGTTAGTCACTTGGACCCAGACAATCCATTTGTGGCTGGAGACGGGACTTACATACATACAAATTGAGTCACAGTGGAGGGCATTCAAGAGGTTTTTAAGATAACAAAATTATAACAATTCATTACATTATTTCATTTACATACTATCATAGCAGAGTTTAGGGCAACCAGACTTTATAGATAAGATTGGTGAAATCGGTTCTAAAACCCTGCATTAGCACACCCTGACTCCACTTAGTCTTGTCTGCCCTACCCCTCGAGTGTTTTTATAAAGTCGCAGGCACGGAGAGAGAGCAGCCCCCGCCCGCTGTAGCAAATCGCAGGCACCTAAGTGAGCCATAGCAGCTAAGTCTGGTCGCCAAAGGCGATCAATAAGCCGAAGAGCATGGGTGCCTGTGATTTGCTGTGCAAGGGGAAGGGGTTGCACTTCCCGCAGTGCCAAACCGTTGCAGAAGGGGTGCTTCCCATGACCCCCTCCCCTCCCACCTCCCTCTCCCAACACTGTTCGCGAGTACCAGACGTCTATAGTTTACCCCAAGATGGGTTCCGAGATTGCTTTCTGTGCATAAAAACACGAAGCGTGTGGAAAGTTGTCACGAGCTTTTGGACCTCTATGGAGAGCAAAGGGAGGAAGTTATGACTTGAAGTGTAACTGACAATGAAACTTGGGTTCACAAAGCAAGAGTCGATGCGGTGGTATAAAAAGGGTACACCCCTCATTAGAAGTATAAGGTGTCTTATACTTCTAAGGATAAGGTGATCTTTTGGGATACTGAAGGTATCCTTTTGATTGATTGTAAAGAATATGATGTTTCCATAACCAGAGATTACTATGCTTCTTTACTAGATTAATAAAAATAAGATATTATAGAAAAAAGGTGAAGAGAGCTTACAAAAGGCGGGCTCCTTTTTGCTATTCACTGGTGCGGTTTTGAACAACTGTGTCACCTACCCTACAGTCCAGACCTGGCCCGAAGAGACTATTATTTGTTTCCAAAAATTAAGAAAGAACTGCATGGGAAAATATTTGACAACAATGATGAAGTGAAGTTCACAAATTCGATTATTTTGATGCCCCAGACTAATCTTTTTTTAGATGGTGTTAATAAGTTATTTGACAGATCTAATAAATGTATTAGGGTTAAGGGAGAATACATTGAAAAGGAAAAATTGTTTAATGTTTCATTTCATTATCCTTCCGTCATTCCGCGAACTGCCAGAATCATAGACGTGAGACATGGTACTTCACTGCTGGCCATATGAGAAAACTCAAGCTGTCTCAAGGAAAATCTTAAGTGTTGCCAAAAATACAGGTGAACAAGTGCATCCCAATCTAATTCTACTTATGACAGACATACTATGTTTTGTACCATTTCTGAAAGTTTCTGTACAGCTTTATATGAGTTAATGGGTGCGTTTGGCAGAAAAAAGCGCTTACAAGCGCTGAAATAGTTTTCGGCCAGGACACGATTGCTACTTCAGTAGCGCTGACACAATCAGCCAATTTGTTTATTTTTGTTTGTTTTGAAGTAGAGTTAATAAGTTGTTTTGTGCAATATTAGTTTTAAGTAATATATTGACATGAATAAACATATTATACATGTTATTAAAAAATCATGATTGGTAAGTTTTTAATATGAATACTTTACAAACATATATTAAATTAGGTTAGGTTCTCTGGTTAAAACTAACTTCGTGTCCTGGAGGAAAATAGCTACTTACGATTTGATAGCGCTTACCGCTTACGATCGCCATTTTGTTTACAAGCGCTTGCTAGCGCTTTTTTCTGCCAAACGCACCCAATAATTCCAACCTAATGAAATAGCATTTCAAGTATATTTCCACTCACCTTTTACGTGTATTGGAATTGACAATGAGGAAAATACTTCTTTTTTATAAATTGTAGTTCTTTTGATAGTTCTTTCTTAATCTGTTTATGTTTTAAAATTTTCTTTAGTGACATCGTAACGGGTAACAATAATGAATGTTTCCTGAATTCCTTAAAATAAATGATTCGCAACTTCCTGTATGATAAATTGAAACGCAATATCTATGTTATTTTCTTAAATTTAAACCTATATAACAAAATACCTATTAAAGTTTAGGTTAGTACGAAAATATATAATATTGTAGTCTTTTGTAGATAGGTTAGGTAGGTAGCTAAGGTTAGGTTAGGTTATTGTTATCAACCATAGATTACTGTGTATATAACTATAGGTTATCTATCATATTAGTACTACCTACGTAGACAGAGAAACCTATAGACAAATTGACGCCTTCTTTCGGATTCGCACACGAAAAAGATATATTTATGCATACGTCTTGCATAGAAATGAGATAGAGCGGTGTGATTGTTTGTCCCTTTCTCCGTGCCGGTTTTTTTGTTTAGCAAACTCTATTTAAGGAGTTTACAAGTTGGTTTAAGTGAGAAAAAAGTGTTTTATGAGCTTAAGATTGGTGAATCTTGTTCAGTTCAGTTCTTAGAATAATTAAAAGTTTTATCTAAATGTGTTTAAAAGTCATAAAGATTATTGTATAACCTAAAATTCGTTATCGTCCTTTCTCACTCGAGGCCACGCCGATCATTAGTCTATAGGTTTCTCTGTCTACGACTACCTATCTATTTATCTATGATTGTTGTTGTTTTATGATTCGCCAACTAAGGTAAGCAAAGATGATGAAATATACAGCCTAGTCTGATTTGTATTGTGTTCACAAAACTCTTCATAGGATTCTCTGTCTACGCTTCATAGAGATATATATATATCTGATGTATCATATTTCGAAGTTATTCATTATTATTTCTTTATATTGCGAAGTTGTTTAGAGATAGTGACGACAGCTTAACGCAACGGACAGTTAGCGAAAATATTTTAAGACAAAATGAGTGAGACCCTCTGGCGGCACGGCCGTAGCTGTCAATGGTTCGGCAACTCAGATTACCCCCCTAATAGATACCGCTGTTTCGATTTGACCAAATTTCGCGGCATGCATGAGTTGCGGGGGACGTGTCAAATGCGTTGTGACTGGATAATTCAAGGTTGAACTTAGAATGCTCCGAAGTCCGAACCGTAGTGATGAGACAGGGTTGGGACGTTGATTGATAAATTTAAGATTTATTGATTGATTCATTGAAATTGATCAATTTTTATTCGAAATTGATTAAAATGAAAATATAACAATGTGTATTAATAAAACAATACATATATTTGTAAATGTAATCTAATGATTTCTCAAATTTACACGAACACTACACATTGAATAAAACTATATATACGGATTCTATCGCGTTTAATTAATTTATGATCACGGGGGGGGGGTACTGAGATGTTTGACGTCTCAATGTCATAGTTAGCCCGGATACCTTCAGTTTTTGAATATTTATTTTTGGTCCGATCTACATAGAACGAGCTTACAGTATCTTGAAGTCTTGCAGTGGTATGCTTGGGTTTGGGTAGATTTTGTTGATTTATATGAGTTGTATTTTAGAGTTAATGGAGTTAAGGTGGTCCAAAACTGCTGTTGTTTTGTCAGATGGTAAAATTGTGAAAGTGTCGTCTACGTACCGCTTGTAGAATCTTGGATTTACTGGAGCAGTAAGAAGGGCTTTTTCCTCAAAGTCCTTCATGAATATATCGGCGACTATAGGAGATATAGGTGAGCCCATCGCCACACTATCAAATTGCTTGTACAACTCTTCCTTCCGCAATAGATAGCCAGATGTGAAGCAGTGTTTGAGTAATACTGCATATTCTGCAGGCATGTTGTTATCTTCTAGCTTCCTAGTTACAATTGAGATGCAGTCTTCAATAGGTAGGCATGTGAATAGTGACTGAATAACAAAACTGACCACAGTTTCATTGTCAGCGAGATCTAGGTCTTTTATCTCACTAACAAAATGGTGTGAATCCCTTGTGTGTGCCCTGGTATGTCCCCTCCGTAGTGAGAGTATTTTTGCCAAGTGTTGTACCTCAAAGTAGTATTATTAATTAATAAACCATACGGTACGTGTTTCAAATTTAGATGTACTTAACAATAATAATAATAAGATATTACTGAATTTCATGTAACACTAGAATAACAATAATTACATTATAACTTTCACTTGTTTTATGATTTATAAATCCATTAAAATAGTTTAATTTCGACGTGTAATATTCGCCTAAATATTAGAATATCACGTTTCAATCAACCACTTAATGCTATTACTTATTGTGTAATCTACATTGGTATTACACTTTAAAAAAAATGTAAAAATCCATACTAAAACTGGCAAGTATAGAGATGGTATAGCGGAATCCAACAGCCTTCTACGGTTTTTCATAATATGAAGATTGTCTTCTGTGAAGTGTCTTGAGTATAGCAAACTATTTTTGGTGGAAAACCATTGGTCCCCTCGACAATTAGCCTCGATCCACATATTTTTCCTTTCGGGGCATTTAGGAAACGTATAACATATAGGTGCCACAATGATACACCACTATTTTTCTAAAATTATGACTAGATGTTGATGAAGCCACTGACTAGAGAGAAGTCAGCGTCGAAGGAAGATTAACCTTGTGTGATAGGGTTGGGTTTGGGGGCCCAGGGGGGTTGGCAATGGCCATGAGGCGACTAATTCCGGAGGCTTTACCCACGCATTGCTTTTCGGCGTGGAAGGCGCGGAAGTACTACCATCTTGCGCGGAGAGGGCCACCACCTCGAAGAGGGCGACGAAGTAGATGTAGGTTTGGGGGCGGTTAGCCGGTGACCGCGACACGCTGGGCTGATCCGCACATCTGAGACGGCTTTTACCTCCGCGCTGTTCGAGTCGCGGCGCTTTGGAACACCCGCGATAGTTCGCTGGGTGTCCCTCTTCGCAGTAATTAACGCAGATCGGAGGCTCTGCTGTCTCGGGTGTGCGGATGCAGTCGGTTGTGCCATGGTCACCTAGGCATTTGAGACACCTAGGCCTGGCGTAACGAGTGGCCGAAGAGTTGGCATCGCTGATACTGGCCAACGATGCCCCTATTACGGGTGGCTTTTTACTACAATCCCGAATAGGTTGCAGATATGCCGCACGTTGAATATCTTCTTGCCTTCCGGACACGTGTCCTGGATGACAAAGCAGAGGTCAAGAAAACGATTCTTGTCGGTGCGGTCTTGACTTCACGAACCGGGAGATTTTGGGCCTTAAGGTCGTTTAAGATGTGTATGGTGTCGAGTTCCTTAGGGAGTCCTCGAACGACCTCATGAAGATTAAGCTCATCTGGTAGCGAGCATGGAAACTAATTTCCTATGCGATCAGGTGACTTGTCACGTTGCGGAATTCCTCGATTGTGTTAACTAACATACGGATACCCTGATCGGCGTTTTGCACCTTTGTGTATTATAGTTTTTTGTTGTTTAACTAATTGGACAGCTTATTCAACTTAGTCTTGTCCTGACTGACGATGGGTGGCGGTGGCTTTTTCCTACGAAGCCGGTGAAACCGTAATGGAAAGGTTTTCCTCGTGACAGATCGGTGTGTCCTTTCGTAGCATAAGGAATGCTGCCCAAATTTCGGCGAAGGCTCGACTCAGGAAATCAGCGAGTTCGTCGTTAGAAAACGACGCCATCTTGCCTATGCTAACACAAGTTAACACAGACGTGTACCAAGCTCAAGCCGAGGTGTGTGCCTAAACAAACACCTATACACCGCGTTGATACGCTAGGCTCGAATTTCCAGGGGTTGTGCCTGTTCATTGATATGGCTACAGGGAATAGTGATTCCGGATTAGCATAAGCAGTATCTAAAAAAAGAGAAATCAATTGCAGGACTTATGCCGGTCCAATGATATAGCTACAGGGAATAGTGATTCCGGACTAGCAGAAACAATAAGAGAGTTTTTGAAGAGCATGTTGCCGGACCAAAAATGATGCAAGTGTTGCAGGGTTCAAAGGAACTGGTCCAATTACTAATAGCCGGTGGGTCGATGTAAACCGGACCAGAGCTGATTGTTAACACCTAAAGGTTCAATATAGACCAGACCAGAACGTATTGCTGAATGTGTAAAAGTTTATGAGTTTAGTCAGGATAATCGAACGAATTTTTTCTGTCTACCGATAACTAAGATTGTGATGGAGTGCGTGCGAGGACCCACGCATGTGTGGCCGTGACGGCGCCTGCGTCGTTGCAACGTGCAGTAACACCTCTGTAGCCTGCCAGTATTCTTGTAAACAACACATGTACCGCACACCTGTGCATTGCACCTGCAGTGACGCTCGTTTAGCTGACTTGTTTCGCTTGTATAAAACGGACGGAGCGGCCCCCGTTGGAGCAGTCTTGGCTCTGGCGTGGCTCGGT